TGTATATAAATCGAACTTTTATACTTGATAGACCTCGCTCAGACAGGTGCGTCGTGCGTCGTTTGTACACGCCACTTGTTGATATACGCGTTTCGGAGTTGCTCCCCGCGGCGTATCGTGCATATGTATGTATGTATGTATATACGTGCATCTAGAAGGGATTGGAGTGAACGTAGAGATATCCGACAACACAGACTCTCCTCTTTTTTCCTTTCAAATGTCGCTTTATTTTTCACTTTTATTTGATAATAAATTGTCTACAATTTGTCCTAGGTTAGTACGTCTTGGAGTTCTCGTGAGGGGGAGGATCGAGGGTCGTAGGGGGAGGGAGAGGAAGGAAGGGGATGGATGGGAGGTTCGCGAAAAAGCGTACGACAATCAATAAAACGGTGAAAAATGGTGGTGAGTAGCGAGCACTCGCAAAGGTGACTAAACGAAAACGCGCCTCTCGTTCGTTTTTTTGTCATATTCGTTTCCTTCTCTCTTTTATTATTTTTTGTTTTTCCATTGCTTCATTTCTTTTTGTTGGTAGGTTTTATTTGTAGGTGTCGCGCGTGCAGCAAGAAGACAGACGATATATATATATATATATATATATATATATATATATATATGTATTGTATAAGCGAAAGTAGCGAGGACAGAGACGATACAGAAGTACGCTGCGTTAAGAAGATTATATTCGATGCACGCGCGCGAATGCAATATCCGGCGATTGAACGAAGAAGAATGCTGGCCGCGAACGGAAATCAAAAGGGTCGCGTTTTGTGAAACGAAAACGAACAACCGGGCACGGTTGAACGAACGTGTTTGGACGTTGCTCTAGAAATCGTCGCCGTATGACTCGACGCCGATGGACCTTGAACACTCGAAAACTCGTCCGTACGTGGAACTGCGACGTACGTGTTTCGTTCGCTTCTCGGAAAACGGATCGCATGCTACCGGTGGGCGCCACGACGCCGTTCCTTCTACGTTCGCCTTTATCTCTCTCTCGTTTTCTTTTTTCATCGACCTTAGATTAGAACTTTGTTCACGATTCGTCGTCGCGATTTTCGTCGATTATTCGAAAGAATGCGAAATACCGCGATGGAAATGAGAAGATCGCAGCATCGGTGCCAAAACAGTACCCGAGAGCCATTGTATGTGTGTGATGCAGTAGCGCAACGCTGGACACGCTACACGCTTCGAAAAGATCTCGAATCTCTTCGGTCGTGATTCCGCTAGACAACCGTTTACGCGCGCGTTTCTCGATGGTTTTCAATTTTTCCACGAGTTCGCGTCGTCGTGTCCGGAATAAACGTGGTACACACGTGGTGCGAAAGTAAATATACATGCGATCGTCTCGAACGTAACCGGCTAATCGATCGATCCACTCTCGCGCGATCTCTGGCCTGACCGCGGCGAGCATCATTCTTTGCAAAGCAGCCGCGCGCCGTGGATTCGCGAACTGTTGATCCGCTCCGAGGGATGTGAATTTCACTCGCGACTCTGAAAAATATGCTATGCCAGATGGCTTTCAGGTACGGTAAAGAGCGAATACCTAAATTATAATTTCTTCCACATGCGGCGTAGTAAATTTATACTCGCTCGAGCTTCTAAATAAATAACGCGACTAATTGTAAGGTGAAACGCGAACGAAAGAAAAGCCATGACAGTAGTTCGAGGTAGACGGAGAAGAAGAGAATGGAAATGCGTAGATGCGTAGAGAAAGTAGAAAAGTGGAAGAAGGAGATAGAAAGATGACGATGACGATGACGATGACGATGACAATGACAATGACAATGGTGATGAAGAGGTGAGGAAGAAGAAAAAGAAGAAGAAGACAAAAGGTTTTTCTCTTTCAGGAACGAAAAGAACAGACGCAAAACAAAGTTATCGATAATGAATGCTGATGACGAACATTACACGAACGAATTCACGATTCAACCATATTATTTACTTAACACGCGATCGCGCGAAACCATTTTAATCCTTTTCTCCCGTTCTATATCATATCCTTCGTCTCGTTCTCTGTATACATACATAAATCTCAGACTCTTTAGACGACATTCATGGCAATAGATCGTGCCGCATTACGCTGAAATTTTAGCGACGGTGGAGCTCCGATCATTAGCCGTGCCGTCCCATGTTCTCTCGTCCTTCCGATTCACCGCGATCGTCGACACTCTGCGCGTCATTTTGAGATCGTTGTATCTAACTATGATATATCTACACGTTACTTATATGCCTATATCGATTGGTTGGTTTTTCTCCTCTTTCGTTCGGTTTTCTTTCTTCTTTTTTTTCTTCTTTTTTTTTTCACTTTGTTCGACCTTTGTTCGCTGAACAAGCGAAGGGCCACACGAGTGGAGGACGATCGATTGAAACGTCGATCCACGGAGGTGATCGATCGACGTTCCCGATCCCCTTATTTCGGCTCTTTCGACTTTCTACGCGGCACCCGCGTCGTCCGGTCGAGCACGACTCCTCTTCGATCCGCGAAAGGAACAACGGATGATTCGAATCGATCGCGGCCGTTCGACGTACAAAAAGATTATCGATCGATCGCTCGGTTCCTCTCCGTTCGGGCGAGAGCGGTTGAGCTCGACTGCCGACGAGACGCGTCTCTTCGTTATCGACCGCGTAACATTGGCAACACGTGGACAGTGCGCCACTGTTTGCTATCGGCTTGACCACGGGCTTGATCGAGGCGCGCCTCGTAACATTCGATTTTATTATTATGATACAACAGCAACGATTGATCGAAAAATCGCGGCGTGGCCCGATCACGCGTACCTCTCGCGCTCCACTTCGCTGTCGCTGTCGACCCCGAGTAATAGTAATTAAATTTAACGAATTAATCGTCGCCGCGTTCGTCGTTCTCGTTGATTAATATGCTACACGCTACGTCGTTTACGATGTACAATATCAATTAATTATCAAATTATTAATTCAATCATTAGAATTACTTTAGAATATTGGTACTCTTTCGCGTCACCTCCGTTCTTTCTTTCTTTCTTTCT